TCACTCAACTCAGTGATGATGGGGTTACTTTTTGCAAAGTTCAGTGACATCTCAGGAAGTTTTTGCAAAGTTCAATGACCTCCCGGGAAACTCCTGAAGTTCAGTGACCTCTCAAGTAACATTTGGAAAAGTTTAGTGACCTCCCAAGAAACATTTGAAGTTCGGTGACCTCCCAAGTTACATTTCACAAAGTTCAGTGACTATTAGGGTAATTAACCCCATTCTGGGCTTTTAATGGGCAAAAATCCATGTCCTAGATGGCACGTAATCGTGCCGCATCTTCAAGGAAGGTGGCACCTCAGTGCCATAGGAATTTAGCTATTTTGCCAGTTTGTTCCTCGGTTAATGCCAATAATCTTGTTTTCTCCACTTTTGCAATTATTAATACCACCTCATCAAACATATAAAACAATACTTATAAGTTTAATGCTCATAAAATCTAACCAATAATCAAGTTTAAAAAAAAAAAAAAACCCCCCGCTTGAGTAAAACATACTCATCAATGACAAACAAAAATTTCATAATCTATAATATCAGAAGATGAACTTTTAGTATCTCTAAATGCCTTATGGTCATCATATGTATCCTCCAAGTGTTCTAGATCAACTTTTATTTTCAGGGCTTGAAATCATACATTTTGCATAATCTTAAAAATTAAAAAAAAAAAATCATTGCTATGTAGAAGATGAAAACAATATGTATGCATTGTACAATTTCCACCAAAAAAAAAAAAAAAGATTGATTTAACCTTTATATAAGAATTTGACATATCACACAACACAAGATTAAAATTATGACAACCACAGTGTGCAAAATGCCATTGGATTTATCTTTAATATTCTTTTCTGTAAACATGTATATCAAGTTCAAGTGTTATATACATAATAATTCACCAAATTTCTCTTGCTCTGAAGTATCATCCACCTTAAGAACTAATAATTAAAAGAAAACTATTTAATTTAGATATATATCTACATAATTAAACTTTAAATACTTCTACAAAATGAAAACAGAACTAACCTAACGTTTGTGTTTTAATTATATATTAATATATTTGCTCACTGGACAACTGTGTTGGTTTGGTTGACTGCATTTGGACTTTATTTTTTTTTGTAATTCTTTATGAACTCTATATAATAAATTTATTTTTTTGGGGCCTTAGACTATCGCCTGCCTCGTATATAGTCCGGGCTACCACTGACTTTGACCTCCATTACTTCTCACTTAGCTGATAAACTAGCCATGTAAGTGAAATGGATTTCTTTATCCCCAGAAAGTATGAACTGGTGATCGAACTCTTCCACCATAGAAATTTTCTCAACATCCATAGCTACAGAAGATGATGCATCAGGCTCAACGTCATCCCTAATCAGGGCCAGTTTTGCATAGAGACGAGTGAGGCCCATGCCTCAAGCCTAACATTAGAAGAGGCCTCAAATTTTAGCCTCTTTTATCCTTCCCTTTTTTTGGTAAATTAGGCTTACTACAATTTTTTTTTATTATTATTAAAATTTGATAAACTGGGCCAAATTCCATTCCATTAATAAATACGGCCTGATAATGTTTATTTATCGTGGAAATTCCATTTCTAAATTAGACCCATTTCAAATGCAACAGAAGGGTAAGTGGCTTAGGATTTCTCAAACTAATGTTGTAGTGATTTCTTAATTTTACTCAACTTGTTCACCACATAGATCGTATTCAATTTATTTGTTTAAAATAAGAAACATTTTACTTGACTTGGCAGAAATTAACGGAGATCCTAAATTAGAGAGTGAAGTAGAGTTCTTAGCAACATATGAACTCCCGAATTTTGAGTTCTTAATTGGCATGGTAATCTGGTTGACGTTGTTGTATGCAGACAATATTATGAGTAAATTTCTTCAAATCGAAACACATAGATATTGATGGTGCTATCGACCTCTTGTAATTAATTGTTTAATTTTTGAAGATTATAAAGAAATTGAATTTACTTATGTCATAAATCTACTGACAAAAAGGGCAATACAAAGAAAACATACAATTTGAAGGAAGAAGTAATTTGACGTAAGTAGTACTGATGAGGTAAATCAATCAGCTAAAGAATCTCTTAGAGTTGAACACTTCATTTTTATAATTAGTAAAATTCTATCTTTTCTAAGATTCGATTTGAACAATTTAAATAATATAAAGAGCTATTTGGATTTTTGTTAAATTTGGAGAGGTTAAGGTGTGCAACCTTTTTTTCAATTTGTTAAAACCTTGTATGAATCTTGAGAAGTATCTGAAACATAATAAACATTCAGATATTGATGAAGATGATATATATTCCGAGTTACATGTCTTGAAATATTATATACCATGTGAAGCAACGAGAACAATTTAAGTGGTACAATTTTTTAAGACATTCCAAATGCTCATATTACTTACAAAATTTTGTTAACTATATCTTACCTTCAATTAACTATATCACAAGAAAGATTGAATGAAATGACTATATAATCAATTGAGAAATAAATGATTAAACATGCAGATTATTTAAATTTGATTAATGTTTTTGTCTCTAAAATCACAAAACGAATAGTATTTAACTAATCGTTTGGAATATTGTCGGCTTTCTTATTTGATTATAATATAAATCTTTCATTTAATACATTTTATTAATTGTTTTATTGTTAAGTTTTAAATTAACAAGTTAACAACTGACTCTATAATAAGTTTATAGATTTTCATGCATACTACAATTTTAAGACTTAATTTATATAATTAGCCTCGTGTCTTCTCCTGTAATGTCATTGGCAGTGATGCCTGGTGCAGTTTCTTAGAGAACGAATGAATGCCAGCAAATTAAGAAAACTTGAACAACTAATCTACGAAATATGGGACTTGGTATAAGATTTGAAAGTTTTTATTTAGCTAATGTACCATGCTTCATTGCCTGCATAGGAGTAATGTTTTCCATACCAGGTATATCTATATGCCCTGGAACTGCGACACGATCTGGTGGCTACACTGCAGACAGTATACGAGGCTTAGCTCTTTTTTTCCTACTCTCCGGAACTGCGAAGACATTAACCTGTTTAATTAACTATTTAATTAACAAAATCTACTTAATTACCAATTTAGTTAATACCAATAATTTGTCAAATTCGAAAGTGTATAATCAAAGGTTGGTAGTTATGTAATTTTTTCCATTTCTACCTTGTAGGTGAAGTGGGGCGGTTCATGCTCTGAAAGTGTTTTGACTCTTATTTTTAATGTGTTTAAATTTAAATTGTATTTAGAAGAACACTAATTAAATAAACGGTAATACTTTATCTCAATCTCACTCCGTTGTCATTTTTAGGCCTGGTTTCAAGTATGTCGCCCAACCCAATTTGGACATTTCTTCTCAGAAAGTCCAAATATGTTGTCCTCATCTCATTGTCTCCTTGATTATCTTCCAATTAAATTTTGATATCTCACTAAAATTTTGAAGTGAAAAATTTAGTGGAACATTGTTCAGCGTGCAAGGAAGAAAAAAAAGTCTGTATTGTTTAGAATATGTTTTCTTACATTGGTCGATTTTTCATTGTTCAAGGAACATAATAATGTAAAAAGTTCAGTTCCAAATACACAAATCTGTCCAATCCTTTACTTGGATTTTGCTTTACTGCCGAAAATAAAGATATAGAAATTGAAGCTCAACACCTGGAAAGGCATACATGAAATCCCCACATGTTAGTATATAATTGACAAGAACATTCCTAAAAGAATGTATTTACTTGATGTTTGTGGAATTTATTGTTAAAAATATGTGGCTACACATTAAAATATGGTCCCGCATAATCGACTACCGCTCAATCTCTCATTAAACTATGGTCACGATTCTCGAGTCATATTCAGTTCAGTGTACAAAAGTAAATAAGATTAGAGAGTTGACTTTAAAAACCCAGGCTTCCGTTTCTATATATAGACTAGTTTGTTCTAATTATCCTTCAAGTGTGAAAAACTCTCTAAATGGCAGTCATTTTAGTGAAGAAGTGGGCTCTTGTGGTGATAGCAATGATGATTTGGCTGTTCATTTTGGGTCCTTCAAATGTGGAGTGTGCATTTGGTATTGATATTAATCCATGTACAGTTTCTGCATGCGTTGCTGCGTGCAAAAAGGCCCTGCATGAGAAGTACCTTGGTGCAACATGTGCACTTGGACCTAAAGGAAAGTACTGTGTCTGTTTAAGTTAATATTTGTGTATTAACGTGTATGTGTATGGCACTATTTTGTCCGAATAAACCTATTGATTATTATCTAATATGCCATGCCAAACTCGCTGTTTGTATTAGTATTAAGTAATAAAACTTTGTTATTTGTACACTGATTTTAACACTTTGTTTCATACTTGCATTGTTGTCAGGTGTCAATTGGATGGAAAAATTGTTCGAAATTTAAATTGTCTAATTGAATAATGCCACATGACAAAATATAAACTGAAGTGTACACCATAATATACATGTAGCAAATCTAAATAATATGTGTATTATGTACACTGTCACGTTAATATATTGCATGATAATATAATAATAGATATCACTTATTTGCTATTTACTTCGTTTCGATTTTGTTCATCTCTCACCCTTCAAATGGCTTGAAAGAAATTGGTATATTATATGCCTATAAACCCATAAAACGTGCCTTCTATGAGGGATATAGGACCAAGAAATGATGTGCAAAAGCCGTCCATTTTCCCCATCTGTGTGGAATTCTTTTTTGATAGCTTCTTTTTCTCTGTAAAACTACTTATCTTCCTTTTAAAAACTTTTCTATCCCCACAAAAATAAAATAACGATAAATTCTTTCACTAAGCTCTACCAAAAGGCCCTTAGTCCTCACAGACTACTCCCATGAGAAGTAGCTCTGCTTGAGTTGCCCATCTGCAACTAACCTGTTTTTCTGCCAAAATTGCAGATAAGGCTTAAGTTGGCCCGTTTTCATGGACATTTACATATCACATAGATATTGGGGAAGGGGAAGCCCGGAGATAGAGAGAAGAATTGAAAACGGCGAAGGGATTTATTATCTTAAAGAGTTCAACCTATGTTAGCACCATTATACAGTGTCATTACCAATACATAACTTAGTCTCTCCTCTTCTATGACAAAAGTTCAAATAAAAGGCAACAACCCTACTAATATCATTGTACAGAACCCGTCTCCGATTTCATCGAGGCATGATCCTTCCATCTGGATATTCCCGCATTGAATATCCTTTGCAAGACATTTAGTCGATCTGCTACCAGAGATTCCTCCAGTTCCTCGATGTGGGCATTTTCTTTTTCCATAATCAATTCCAGTTCATCAAAATACTTCATCTTGCGTTTCAATTTCTTCATCTGTATATGTATAAATGAAAACAATAAAAATCTTAATCTACTCAATACTGGACTGTAACTCAGGTTAAACAATGCGGAAAATTTAACAATTGTAATTCCCGAGAACTCGCAAAATCACATACAATTTTTCACCACAATTTCCATCAAAATTATTGTAAAAAACCAAGTAGACCTAGCAGAATTCAAAGACATGAAACCGCACCTGAGTTTCAATCATGATAGCCATCAATTGTTCCATCCTTCTCTCTTCTTGATCAGCCAAATATTTGGCATGAGCAGCAGCAGCACCAAGGGCTGTTGCGGTGGCAGCTCTCATTCTTAAGTTTATTTGTATTGTATCCTTCTCAGATGATGGGCCTTGAATTTCTGTGGACACACATGGTGATCAAATAATGAGCGATAATGACCTCGATTTTGTGGAAGCATGTTTTACTAGGTTTAAAACGAAGTAAAAGTTTCAAGCATGTACTTATTTGGAATTTTGATCAACAAAATAATTAGGATCCGTTTGATTGCAAAGATAGAATTGAATTGCCTAGAAAACGAATTCCAGGGAATTGAATTGCCTAGAATTGTTTTCCTGGGAAATGTAAATTATTGTGTTTGATTGGTATAATTTTCCACGTGGAAAATGTTAAAATAAAAGTATTTTTTGATGTCCGTTTGGTTTTATTTTACATGAAAATTGTCAATTAAATGGATGAAATTTACTGGTATTGGAAATGAAATTTGTTTCCATTGCCAAAAAAAAAAAAAAAAAAAACAAGAAAATCATCTATCTTTGGGTGTTTGTTTGGCTTTTTTTACATAGAAATTGTCAATTAAATGAAAATATTTTTTATAATAATTCTTAGAATTTGTTTCTATTACCAACACAAAAAAATAAAAAATAAAAAATCCAAAAAAAATAAAAAACTGCTACAGTGCTTGGAATTCCAATTCTCACCATATATGGTGAGAATTGGAATTCCATAAAAACCAGGAATTGCACAACTTTTAACAAAAGCAAGAATTGATTTCCATGGAATTTAAAATGCTATCAAACAACTAAAAAGGGGAAAAGAAGGAATTGAAGTTCCATGGAAATGAAATTACATGCTATCAAACAGGCCCTTACTTCATGTTAAATATTTAATTATAAGAAAACCTTTTAAGTTTAGCTAAACATGCTCTTTGTCGAAGCAATGCATGTAATGGAAGTTATAACATTCTATTGAGTCATTAACAAATATGAAAAATACCAGATTGTTTGGGCCCTTCATCTCCATCTAAAAGATTACCCTGAGCTGCTCTGATAGAGAAACAATTTGTTCCAGCTTTATCATTTCAATGCCAAAAACATATTGAACGGACAAAACTTCATATATGATTAGATGAATACCTCTTTTGCTCAATATTTTCAGCTGAAGCTTTAAGATCAACAAAAATATTATCCTCATCAAATACTTCCCTGGAACACTGGTTTTCATAACAAAGAGCTGTAACAGCTGCCTCAGCTGCAGAAGCTGTGACATGAGGCCCAACTGCGGTAGATATGCGAGCAACCTAATAAAGTAAATTGAGTTGCCAATTATAAAGTCAAAACTTGATATCAGAAGATAAAACTTTTAGATAAGTGAATGTAGAATAACATAACCATCAGCAAGTTTCACAATCACTTTTCTCACTGAAAATTTATAAATTAAGAAAATTGTGTTTGTCAATAGATACTTCAAACAACATTCAGGTAATCCCCAATAGTTGCAAGAGCGATAAAGAAAACTATAATTCACAAACATCCCAAAGAAATTTATATTTACTTCCTACAGTTTCACATAAGGCTTCCAAGTTATCATCAATCAAAACCTTGCAACTGAAGAATAAATTATTGAGAACTCAGAAGTATATTTCGGCAGAAAGACTAAAATAAGCACCTGGTTCATCAAATAAGTGGTATTTGAAGTTGGTTCCATGCGTATTCTTTTCAGAGGTTGACCTTCCGTGTCGGTATATCCATTCTGCTGGCCCTCATCCTTAAGCTCGTGGCTTGGGTCCTCTACTTTTGCAGATTCTTGAGATTCCTTAAAAGCAAGCTTTCCCTGTTTCAAATTACTTACATCACCAGTTAAATCCAAAAATTTCCTCTTCCTCTGGGCTGAACCCAACATGCGATCTCCAAAAGGAAGCTCCATTAGTTTTGATATACAATCCATTTTACTTTTCGTCTGAACATCCTGAGCAACAAGATCCCAGTCATCTCCATGTTTCAAAACAGATTCCAAAAGGTGTAAAGTTTCTGCTTCTGTCCAGACATTGTTTTGATTCCCACTGTTTATTAATTTGAAATCATCTGCTGAATTGTTCTCCTCATAATTACCACTTTTGAAGCACTTTTCACAAAGAATAAAGCTCCCCTCCTGATATATGACAAGAAAAACAAATTAAACTTACTTAATTTCTAGTAATAACAGAAAACTAATACAAAGAATTATATAAATATCATGAAATTGCTATTTATTCTTTTACCTCCTGAGTATCTTTAAAATGATAAATGTCAAATATATTCTAGTGCCAAATGGCATAATGAAGGTTCCAGATCTACAAAACAATGTCAATTACATAATGTATCAAAAAATAATTGTAGGAAAGAAGACAAACGCATGCTACAGTCATAGTTCTGAACCCTTTTTAATTTTATTTTTTAAGAGGGTGACTTACATAAATAATTATGACCCCATCTAGGTACGATTCTAAGAAGATTTTAATCAAAATTTTGATTGTTGGAAATGTAGGTGGGTCCCTATGCCGCCGTAATATTGACTCAACATGAAGCAAATTACCATAAATGCCCATCTCTCATTTTGAATGAATTAAATGTCAAACGGGTACATATGTAATTCTGCTACAATTTGGTCAATAAGTGCAGTTGCTAACACTGTATAACGGTACAAATTTTGTTAAAAATCGCTACCAGACGGGCTATATCAATTTATTTTTGCTATGCTGATTGTTCTTCACGTAAACACTCATCATGTACCAAAGAAATACTCTCCATAGCTGCCAATATTTTCCTTCTATTTTTATTCCCTTCTCTATGTTTTCCTTCAAAACAGGGTAAAAGACGTAAGATCTGCCAACATCAGGATCCAACCCTCGACATAAGTTACTATGAGGGGCCGTTAAAAATTGAAAAATACTCCAACACAGGATTATTGGGTATAGTTAATTCTCATTTTCAAATCCTTGTGTGATTAAGGATCTAATACCCGTGCTTCTATTATATAAGGTTACAGTATAAGAAATGCCACAGATCAAGGAAGATAAGATTGTGGAAGCGAGAGATAAAATATGGAAGTGTTGAGTGAATGGAGGAAGAGTGGTAGTCACACTAGATCTATATAGAAGGATATATATAGCTCTACCTCGAAAATAGAAGGTAAAACAGCTGTATTAGAAGGGATGTAGTGCTCTCGTGTTAATGCTAGGTCATTAGCAAAGAATAGATGTGAAAGCGCCCCAGAACAAGATTATTGCCGGTAATTATCGGAATAATGCAGTCATTTGTAGGTCAGGATACTAGAATTGCTAAGGACTGACCATGGATGTGACTTTGAGCTCTCTTATAAACAGTGTTCCTCTGGTCTCCAATACACGAGTGCTTGTTCTACAGATGTAATGGATACCTAGGACGAACATGACGAGAAGTTGAGTAGAGAACTTTCTCGCAAGATTCCTATACCTTGCACCCGGCTGCCGAACTCCATGGTTACTGAAACCCATATATTGACCCCAAGCGAAGCTAAAACCAATATTCCACTTGTTAAACCAATTTAGGGGGCCATGACACATATATGTATTAAAATTTAATACATTGTATTATTTGCCACGTGTTTCTCAAATAGGATTGCCAAGTGACAGCCCATAGCCTGCATATGAATTCGTAGCAAATTCAGTTTCCCACTTACAAAACGAGGCTTTTCCCCTTCTTGTAATTTTATCACTGGTAGCCTCACTTATTCCCCTGCAAATTAATAGGCAATTTTTCTGTTTCCAAAATTATTTTGAAAACCATCTTTAATGAATAATGGTCTGAAAAATCTTCACGATTGTGAAAGACCTTAGTATCTCATTTGGTCTGATGGGAAGAGATCAACATACAAAAGTGACTATTTCTATTAAAACATTAAGATTGTAACTACACAAACGTCCAAGACTGAGAAGAGCTCTCTTGGTACATTAGGCTACTAAATCAAAGCTATAGATAACAGAGTTCTTGGCATAGGTATGGAAGTAATGAGTTCATCCCAAGTGTGATTCTCCAAATGAATATATCTTAATAGAAATTATTTCTATTTAGAATTTAGTTCTTTCAGCATGGTCTCCCTTTTCTCTCCACTTGGATGATAAATTTCTCCATTAGCAATCGTTATTCAGCGATTCTTTCAATACAGTTAAGATATCTTCATTTTTAAGTTAATACATTGATGAGTTTCACCAGGCATGCATTTAATCTTAACACACTATATTCCTTATTAGCGCAGATGCAGATACTTCTCGCGTTATAGTGTAGCAGTGATTCATATCGTCGATTAGAAACGAACCACATACGACAAATAGATAATTGCGTATAAGTTACCTTCGTGTATTCGTAGTGCATTGAATCACAGTTCTCTTTACAACTCCTACACACCAAGCCCTTCTTCTCCTGCTGTGCCAAATCCGCAAAAACATCTGAGTAAGATGCCAATGGTGGCCACTTGAATCCATTATGCCCAACCTCCCCGATCCCTCTACCACCATCCACGCTGACAGATGTCGGTGGGGGCAGCTGCGCAACAGGTTTCATGGAATTCGGAGCTGCCACCACTCTCACCCCATATGGGGCCCCTTCTTCCAGTTTCACCCTCCCCTTCCAACTCTCCTCCTCCTCCTCCTCACCCCCAACGGAAGTCGTTTTACCATTCCCATTACAATTATCACCTTCATTATTTCTTTTAACATCAAAATTAATGAGACCCCATTTTTCTAAAAAGGTAAATACTTTATGGAGAATGCTAACATCTCCTACCAATGACTTTCGAACCTCGGTAAACGTCAATTTCCTCGAAGGGTCCTCTCTATACTTCGAAATTATGAAATCCCTGTACTCCTTATAGATTCTGGGTGACCTTGTGATTGAACTCCCATCGAAAAACTCTCTCAATGAGAATCTCTCCACTTCGTGGATGTTACTCCAAGAAAACCAATCTTCATCGAAAAATTGACAACAGAATGAAGATTAGGTTTCAATTAAAAATAAAAATAAAAACGCAGATACACACATATATGCATATACTTACTGGAGGAGCTTGGGACTGAGTAGGACTCGAGTTCCTGACAATTCTTCTCCATAGCAGACCATGAGCGAAAATCGAATTATTTTTGTGTATTTAAGGGTAGAACGATATTTTGGGAATCTAAAGAGTAAATTGCGATTTTGATATTAAAGCGTGTTTGCATTTCAGCAATTCTTACTTGTGTCTTCAATTGAACTGCTTTGTGTTTACGTCTTTCTTAAAATTATTTTTCCTCAAATTTATTTTTAGTACCGCATTTTCTTAGAAAATTAATTTCTGCATAGTATGCATTCTTGTAATTCGTAATCATAGAGTAAATAATAGTCTCTTATCTCAATCTGAAATTTATAAATTAAGAGTTAGGCATAGCAAGTAAAACGTGTTAAATTGTGCGAAAGTTTTTAAATTTATGATGTGAACATTGGCTATTTTTGGAGAAGTAATGCTACGTGTATAAATTGTTTACAAATTGATAATATGGCATTATATTAAAATTTTATTAATTTTCTTCTCTCTCTCTTTCTCTGTAATCAATAGTAAATAATTATATACAAATAGTATTACTCTTTTTGTAATTGATGTTTTTAGTGAAAAAAAAAATGAATGAGGTCACTCTATTATGTTTGTTAAAGCATTTATACTGAACTATGGGTATGTTTGAGGTAGATATTCGGACTATTGATTTTGTGAAAAGCGATACTTTTGAAGAAGGTATGGTTAAAAACTAGAGAAAATTTATAGGTTAACGTGCAAATTTTTTTACTAAGAGAATGTACAATTGAAAATGATTTTTAAAAAAAATTAAGTATATATAGCAAAATGTGACTATACTTTTTGATGTGGTAGATGTATAGTAATATTATTCATTAACATTGTAAATTTTACAAAAGAGTAATTGACGAAATATCCCCCAACTTTTTTTGGTTTTAAGCAATACCCAATAACCTTTCATTTTGACACATATCCACAACTCAATCAAAATCTACGGAATACAATATTTTCGTCAATTTTCTCCATAAAAAAGTATGATAAAGTGACGAATTTATCATCATCTATTAAATAACTAATAAAAAAGAAAAGAAGAAAAAATAATGAATTAATTGCAACTATAGTTCTAAATTTTTCAAAAAATACAAAAATAAAATAAATGTTTCCAAAAATAAATGTGAAGAAAACCATCCCTCCAATTTTTTTCCAAATTCTTCTTATTCTTCCTCGAAAGAAAATGAAGAAGAATTTTTCACCAAGAGGGTCCACATTATACAATATGAGTCCATTTTACACGAGATCACCCCGTCCAAAATGTTTAAACCCATTGGATTTGAACTCTCTAGCTCATTCTTCATCATCTGATGGTAAACCGTCGGTGGTGCTAAATTTGAGTGTTCCCAAGGGTTTAGCATCAAAATCACTGAACATTCTACTAAATTTTCGACCCCTTTGATGTTTTTTAACCCGCCATCTCCACCTTGAGAGACGAGGGAATTTACTCTATTTTCATCATCGCAAATCTGAGGATAGGGCCCCTTAATTCCTCAGCTTAGAGTTTTGATTTGTAGGGTTGAGGGTCAATCTCACCCCGTCCTTCGCCTCTATCGATACCACTAAAGTTATGGGACCCAAAGTTGCTACTAGGGCCATCGGAGTTGGTGGTACTATTAAGGACCACAAACGTGAGTGGGTACGGGGAACTTGGAAAGCAAAATAGAGGAAACAAATTTGAAGCCTTTACTTTGGGATAAAAGTGAGAATTAGTTTTGATAGAGTAATGGTTGGGATCGGTTGAAGTCAAAGGCCAAGGACAGAGATTATTCATAACCTTTACAAAGGTGCGATAACAAGAGCATATTGGAATGTCCATTAGTTCATACTTAGGGAGGTGTATTTAATTGGGACTTTTAAAGACTTTGGGAGATTTAAAAAGTTTCGGTGTATTCAATTGAGACTTTTAAAAACTCTCTAAAAGTCTCGGTGTATTCAATAAAGACTTTTAAAAGGTCTCTATGAGTTTTGAGGTATTCAATTAAAACTTTACAAGAATCTCTATAAGTTTCGGGGTATTCAATTAAGAAAGACTTTCGGGGAATTTATAATTTATTAGACTTTTAGAGACTTTTGGTAAAAAACCTACATAGAATTCTCACAAGAAAAATCTCTCAGCAGTCGAGAGATTTCTCACAAGTGAAGGTCTCAAGTAATAGTAACAGGGCTATTGTTTTTCTTCTAGAGTTTCATCTCCTTCAATCAGGTAATCAGCTCTGCACCTCTCTATCTTTCCCTCTATATGAGTATTTTGTTTGATTTATGAATAAATCATCTCCAAAATTGCGAACTGGAAGAAGATGACTCTGGGGAGTTTATGATTTCTGAACCAGTTCAACATTCCCACAGAAAAACACGAATTCTTTCCAGCCTAATGCAACACCCTCCGCCCTAACCTGAAATTGGACCCTTGAAACCACCATTCACACCGGTGTTGATACAAATAGTGAACTGGTCGTACCCACCTGGGGTTGATTCCCCATATGTATACAATTCTGAACTGAAACACTACTGACGTCCTTCAAAACCCAAATAAAATACCCTCTTCCACTTTCTCTCAACTCCTCCACCTTCTTCAACGATCAACCCCTGATTCACTTCAGCCTTTCTTTGGGTAAATTTCTTTTTTCTTTCTTTTTTTTTGTATTTTTGTTTACGTGTATAAGTGTTATTATTATAATTCATGGGTTTGTTTCTTATGAATTAATTTGCCTTTAAGGTTCCTAGTTAATGAAGATGGCAACAGAAAAAATGAATTTTTATCTACTTGAGTTTGTTTATAATTGGAGGGACTTGTTCTTATTGGGATATAGAGAACGGAATGACGTGTAACAAGAAAGTGAAATAATTTTACATTGATGAATCATTGTTGCATACTAGAGCTTGAAATTTTAGTCTAGGAAAAAAAATTCAAACTTGAGGGTTATCGTTTATGAATCTAGCATCTGAGTTCTAATCTTTTCTTACTCTGTGGGGATGCTGTCAGTTTGGGAGTTGGGGATAGAGTGGTTGGTTGCAAGAGTTGTTATCATTTCAACGGATGGTGATAGAGCACGTGATTAAAGTCAATGTAGGGAGAGAGTGAAGAGCTAGACAAATATGATGCCGAATGAAGCTGAGGTTGGATGTCTGAAAATTAAATAAGTCGAAACTGGATGATGATGGCAATGCTGCTGCTCATTAGAATTTATAGTGGAGATTACAATGTTGTTATGCACTTTTGTTATCTTCGAAATTTTGAAGTTGTTATAAAGTAGTTGAATGTTTATAGAGTGTTTTGTTCATGGGAAGCTTACAATTTATGTTCACTGTCTATCTTTGGAGGTTTGTTTTACATTAACCTCTCTTCAAACGCGTCAAGTGCTGAATCGGACCTTAATATGGCCTTTTGTTCTGGTTGCTTTCTTTGGACTAGGTCTTTCAATCTTGATATTTTGATTTGTCTTTTCTATGCATGGAATTTCCACAATAAATGCAAACCCCTCTGAGATTCTACTGGGGAAATGGGTTGATTATTCAGGTCGTTCCCTAATTGTAGTGGGTCCTTCATTTGAAGAAGAATCTAATGGAACTAGAGCTGGAGGGAAACAATTATCATTTCTGGCGTTTTTCTTTTTGTGGGTAAATTTCTTATGTTATCATATAGACATGATCAATTTGTTTTATGAAATATCCGTTTTTTGGAACTTGAGTAGCTATGTTTGTTTGACTTTTTGTTGCTCATTCTATATTTGCCTAAATATTTGTTCTCTAATTGTATGACACTAATTCTAATGGAAGATTCAACGCAAGGAAATGACAAGGTTCAGGGAAAAGGTACTGAAAAATATGAGAAATGGACGTCGAAAGAAAGCAATGAGCTTTTAAAACTCATGGTTGATGTTGCCACACGTGGTTGGCGTGATAGTAATGGTCTGTTGAGCAAGATAATCGTAGAAAAACATATACTTCCTCACCTTAACCAAAAACTTGGGATTGAAAAAACTTATGCCAGTATAAAAGTCGTGTGAAATGGTTTAAAAAACAGTACAACAAGTATTCTAAGCTTATGCATCATAACTCTGGGTTTGGATGGGATCATGTGACGAAGAAATTCACTGCTAGTGATGAAGTATGGGATGATTTATGGTGAGCTTCCTCTATTACTTGATTTAGAAACATATGAAATTTGAGTTATTGGTTAGTGAAGTGTATTATTTATATATTAGCACTCATACATTTTTTTTTCTTTAATAGTCACATCCCGAAGATAAAAGTTATCGCACAAACACTTTTCCAGACTATGAGGATTTGAGAATTGCAGTTGGAAGTGGGACAGCTGTTGGGACACACTCAATTGCATTAGGGGATGATACTGATGGAAGAACTTTTTATACTGAAGAAAGAAGAGTTAGTGACAATTTAATAGACGACTTCATGTATGATCCTGATACCGAAACATTTATAGTAAACGATAAGCAAGATTTTACAAGTTCAGAGGTTTCCCCACCAATTTGAAAATGTAGTAGAACAGAATTTGAAGCAAAATATAGTTCGTTTGAGCCCAAAAGCACTCAATCAGACATTATAGACAAACTTACTAGTACAGTTGGCAAGATCACTCAAGCAATTGAATCAATTGACACCAGAGAGCCTAATTGTTGGAACATTAGCAAGGAAATTCCAAACTTGGATGATGATGATCGTTTTAAGATCCTTGATTTGCTTAATACAAGAGAAAAAAGGTCTGAGTTCTTGAGCATGACGCCCGAAGAACGTTCTAAATGAATATCATTTAAATTAAATTGAGGCTTTGTTTTTTTGGATACGATTGGTAGTAACTTTTGAAATTTTTGAATTGTTTTTTGTTTGATTTATTGGTTGTATTGTTTTGATATTTTATTACTTTAATGACAATTGATTCATTTTACGTCACATTATCGTTATCTTTGCCTATGTATTAAATTTTTGTTCCTTCAATGTTTAGGTACTTCCATATATATAATATCTAATGTTAACATACATGAAGATCGTGAAAAAGAAGTGGATGAGAATGAAGAAGATGACTATAAGGAAGCATTATATGAAACCAGACGGTATTTATGGATGGCAATTCAAGCAATTCTCTAAGTCAAAAATGATCTTGTGAATAATATCCGTTGTGCACGTATTACGCGTTCACTAACTAGACGACCAAAAACTAGATATGGATATGACTGTATACATAAAATATTAAAGGAGGATCCAGAAAACTTTCGACAAGTTTATAGAATGTATCCGGATATATTTCTAAAATTAAGCAATATCATTAGAGAAAAAACACCCTTACAGGATACTAGGTATATTTGTGTTGAAGAGATGCTTGCAACGTTCCTACTTATTGTTGGTCAAAATACTAGATATTGCTTGATTCGTCAAAATTTTGATCGATCACATTTCACTACTAGTCGAAATTTCAACAAGATTTTACAGGCATTAAATAAAATTGCAATAGATATGATGGTCAAACCGGGATTCGTTGTGCCAGAAAAAATAAGGGAAAGTACAATATTTTATCCTACTTTAAAGTAAGTGATGAAATAAGACCTATTATAATTTTTATTTTATATTTTCATTAGTGTTCTCGTGAATTTTTTGTACTGTTTTATTATTTTTAGGATTGTATTGGAGCTATTGATGGTACTCATATTCCAGCAATGGTAACTGGACGTGATACAAGCAGTTACAGAAATCATCATGGAACAATTTCTCAAAATATTTTGGCCGCTTGTAACTTTGATTTGGAATTTATATACGTGATTAGTGGGTGGGAGGGATCAGCACATGATTCTAAAGTGTTGAGTGATGCTTTAACAATGAGAAATGGACTTAAAGTGCCATAAGGTACGACTTTATTATTTCTTTTTTTCTTTTATCTTATTGTTTCATAATTACTTGTTAACTTTACAAGTATTTTATATTCAGGTAAATATTTTTTGGGAGACTATGGATTTCCAAATCGACGTTAGTTTTTAACTCCCATTCGAGGTGTCCGTTATCATCTTCAAGATTTTGCTGGTAAAGGTCGTGACCCTGAAAATACAAAAGAGTTGTTTAATCTTCGTCATGCTTCCTTGAGGAACGTAGTTAAGAGGATATTTGGTATATTTAAATCAAGATTCACAATTTTCAAAACAACTCCTCCATTTCCATATCGTACACAAGCCGAACTTGTATTAGCTTGTGCAGGATTACACAATTTTCTCCGGAAAGAATGTCAGTCCGATGAATTTCCAATCGAACCCGATAATGAAGATTATTCATCTTTTTCGATTAATGAGGAGGAAGACTTTGGACCATTTTTTGAGAGTCAAGAATAAGAAAGAGAGAATGCTAATGCATGAAGGGCTTCTCTAGCTGCGGACATGTGGAATGATGTTGGAAATGTTTGATATATATATATATATATAATTTTTTTTTTGTTGATCATTACTAAAATACCTTTTTTTTAATATTTTTATTATTTGTTAATCTACTTGATATAAGACGAAGAAGTACTTTATGTTTGGCGAAATATTTGTTTTTTTTGGGAAAAAAATTGACATGAAAAATACGATTTATTACTTTACATTTTCGATTATATGAGTTGTGAACGATTTGAATATATAAGAAGTTAAATATATTACATTATATATGTTTAATATATTCTTTTAAAAAATATAAAAAAAATTTCAAAAGTTTTTAAAAGCCTCTAGTAAAAATCTCCACAAATCCAGGAAAAACTTTAATTAATTCCTACCAAATCCATAGAAATCACTTAAAATTCCACAAAGTCCACAAAAGTCACCCACTTTAAAAAGTCTCCAAAAGTCTTTAAAAGTCCCAATTGAATAGACCCCCCTTAAACTCCAATCTAGGCAGTATTGTTAAATTATGTGGTTCAACAAGTCATATATGATCAAGTCTTCATTAATAATTCATGTTGTGTTGGGTCATCTGTTGTCATAGTCAATAGGAATTTGTTTTTAGTGAATTAATGGTTGTGCAAGTGTCCCTAGTCAAAGGCATGTTGTTATGCTTTTACCTGATTTTTAGGAAAATTTGTTTTGCACGTTGTACAGTGGCTAGTTTTGTGCTTTTATCCATTGGTGTAATTGCATATATAAAGATTGTTGATTAATGAATAAATTAACACCCTATTTGATGGCCATTATTTGGTCAAAAATAATATTTTGAATAGTGATTTTTTAGAAAATGTGTGATTCAAAAGTAGGGAAAGTTCTAGATTTATATATAGAATATTTTATTGTATGAATATGTGGTTAAAAATGAGTATGTAAAAAAAATAGTTTTAAAATAATGGTTGTCAAACAAGGACTAATCAATTCAATACCTCCTTTTCACTTGTTTTATACATTTCAGATTTACTAGTCTTATGCAGAGTTCTTTATTACCCGTGGTATCAGAGTCTGATTATTGTTAGTAAGTGAAAAGGGAAGAAAGCCAAATACAAAGAGTCAAAAAACCAAAAAAGTTCATAGTTTTCAAAAGATAGGTTGATGGTATAGAAGGAACTTTGTTCTTTTTCTTACAACAGCAGTAAGACAATGGCCTCTGATAATTTTGTACAGTCGGCTATTCCATGCCTCGATGGCCATTATGACCATTAGAGCATGATTATGGAGAACTTTCTAAGGTTTAAAGAGTATTGGTAGGTTTTCAATACAGAGATATAAAAACAAGCAAATGGCGTGGCTCTGATAGAGATGCAAATGATAGAATTGGAAAGACTGAAGCTAAAAAATTTGAAGGCAAAAAATTATCTTTTTCAAGCTATAGATCGGTCGATCTTGGAAACGATTCTTTAAACGGAAACCTCCATACAGATATGAGATTCTTTGAAGAAAAATACAAAGATTAACAAGGACAAAGAGACAGTAGCTTCAAGCGCTTTGATCCAAGTTTGAAATGCTTCAGAAGAAATCAGAAGAATCATGATTTCTTCTCAAGAACAATGGCAATTATCCATAAGATGCGAGTTCGCGGTGAGAAGATGGAGGACGTGACTTTTATGCCAAAATTTAACTATGTAGTTTGTTCTATTGACGAATTAAAGCACCTTGATACTCTTTCAATTTATGAGATGCAAGGATCTTTACTGGTTTATGAAAAGAAAGTAATCCAGCAAGAAAAAGAAGAGCAAGACTTAAAGGCTTCTACAAACAACAATGCTTGGCTACCTAGTAGATCAGCATACCGTGGTTGAGATTGAGGTAGAAGAAGAGGAGGTCGAGAAAATAGATATGGAGGCAGACGGTATTAACATAACAAAAATGACAATGATCCATCCATTTTTCAAGATAGAGGAAAGGGATGTGATCAATAATTTGAGAAATCCAAGGTAGAGTGCTATAGATGTTACAAGCTTGGCCATTATTAGTATGAATGTTATACCAAGCTGTCTGAAGACAAAGAGAAGAGGTTGAAATCAAATTGTGTTGAGCAATAAGAAGAAGAAACCTTACTGATGGTGTTCCATGAGAAGGAGGACAAGATTGAATCAAATGTTCGGTATGTGAACACGGGCTGCAGCAACTATATGTGCGGTGGTAATTCATTTTTTGTTCTTATTTAAATGTAGACTTTCGAAGTACTGTAAGTTTTGGTGATTGCTCTAATGTGAAAGTTGTACGAAAATGATACATTAAGATAAGAACCAAAAATGGTCTTGTATGAACAATCTCTAGTGCCTTTTTATATTCTTGATTTGAAAATAATTTACTAAGTGCTGGTCAATTGCAAGAAAAGGGTTATATTATGACTATTCAAAATGGAGCTTGTGAGATATAGACCCTTCAAGAGGAGTAGTGGCCATTGGTCAGATGAGTTTGAATAGATCATTTCCATTCCAGATAAATAATTTTGAACGATCCATCATGGCTTTGGCATTTTCAATATGACTACTTGAATTTTAATGGATTAACAACGCTCCAATGAAAGAATATGGTGATATGACTTTCCCAAATTTTTATTCCTTTCTGGAGTTTGTGAGAAATGTATTGTTAGCTAGCAATACCATTTTTAATTTCTACAAGGAAAGTCATGTAAAGCAGCAAATATGATAACTTCCAAAAATTCATGAAAGGTTTATCAGCTAGATGTGAAGTTGGTGTTCTTACATGGTGAATTGCAAAACGAGGTATATGTTGACCAACCCTTTGGATCTGTAAAATAAGGTAGCGAGCATAAGGTATACAAATTGAAAAAAAGCTTTATACGGACTGAAACAAGCACTAGTAACTTGGTATAGTCATATTGATGTTTGCTTTTCTAGAGAATGTTTTTGCAAATGTCTGCATAAGCATGCACTTTTTATAAAACTTGGAAGTAATTGTAATTTACTTGTTGTTTGTTTATATGTAGATGATCTGATGATCGAGGTTTTTAAGAAAAATATGATAATTTAATTTGAAACGACAGATTTAGTTTGATGCATTATTTCTTTGGGATTGGAGTTGTGAAATCATCTACTGGTACATTTATTTCACACAAAAAATGTTCTTAAGGTTCTAAAGTAGTTCAAAATGCAAGATTGCAATCCAACAGAATATAGCAATATTTTGGTGAGAGATGATGGAGCAAACAAGATAAATGCCGCTCTTTACAAACAGATAGTGGGTAGTTTCATGCATATAGCCTCAACAAGACCTAACATCATGCATGATGTTATTTCAATTAGTAAGTACATGGAGAATCCAAGTAAGAATAGTTTGTTGGCTGGTGAAAGGAATTTTTCATTATCTTAAAGGCACAATTGATTTTGTTGTTTTGTATAAGGCAGGAGCAAAGGAAAATTTATTTGGTTTTTCTGTTAGTGACTATATTGGACGCCTTGAAGATAGAAAGAGTACGTTAGGATTTTTTTTTATGATGAGTTTTGAAACTGTATCTTGGTTATCAAAGAAGCAACAGACTTTATCATCTAAGGAAGCTCAATTTGTTGTAGTAGCTTATCCTCTTGTTAAGCTATTGGTTGAGAAGATTGCTTGAAACACTTCAAACGTTTATAACAAGGAGTAACAACTATCTATTGTGAGAATGATTCAGTAGCAAGGAGTTCTTCATGAAAGGAACAAACACATGGATGTTAGATGCCATTTCTTGCTCAATCTTTATGATAGTATAGTTAATTTGGTGATTTGTAAAAATGAAAATCAAGTGGTTGATATGCTAACAAAACCACTCTAGCAAGTATTTGAACAGCTTAGGAAAATGCTTGGAGTTTGCTTTTCAAAAGAAGTTAGAGCTGCTTAATGGAAGGCATTGCAGATTAGTGTCCTTAAACTAAATCGATCTCTGCAGACATTAGTTTAAAAAGAAGATGGTAAACTATGATCGTTCAACAGGTCATATATGACCAAGTCTTCATTGATAATTCATGTTGTGTTGAATCATTTGTTGTCATAGTCAATAGGAATTTATTTTTAGTAGTTTAATGGTTTTGTAAGTTTCTCTAGTCAAAGGCATGTTGTTATGTTTTTACCTAGTTTTTAGGAAAAATTGTTTTACACATGGGTCATGCTATTTGTACATTCCATTTTACACTTTGGGTTATCCGATCTTACCTCCTCCTCTCACATGGGGTCGGGTCCCACGTGTTGTGGGATCGGGTAGGCTAAAGTGTAAGTCAACAAGTACAAATAGCTTAATTCTTTACACATTGGGCAGTTGCCGATTTTGTGCTTTTTATCCGTTCATGTAATTGCCTATATAAGGCTGTTGGTTAATGAATAAATTGAACCAATTCAGTACCTTATCTTCACTTGTCTTCTACATTTTCAGCTTTACTTTTGTCTTATGCAGAGCTCTTTATTATTAACAGCTTGTTTGGGAGCAATTTTTTCCTCCAAAAAATTGATTTTTTGACCGTTATTATTCGACTTATTTTCTCACGGGTGGACCCCACTTTTCTCTTAACGATCAAAAAATCAATTCTCAAAATCACTCCTAAACAGGCTCTAAATGTGGATGATAGCCCTATGTTGTGTAAAAGAAAAAGACAACAAGGGAAGAAGAGATGAGGAAAGTTCTAGTGATTTGAGAAGGGAGGAATGAGTTTATCCGTGACGTTGAATATGGGAGTTTTTAACTTTTTTTAGTGAATAGGCCATTTAATCTAATTCCCACAAGAATTTTTTTCGCACTCATTTTAAGAAAAATATGTTACTATGCCCTTGTTAGATGATTAAAATTATAATTTTCGTAAATTTTGATAAAAGTTGATCAAATGTGTAGTTGAAAAGTTGTGAGTCTCATTAGATATATGATTGAAATTAGCCCTTATTTGAGAAAAATAATATTTTAAATAGTGAGTTTTAGGAACATGTGTAGTTAAAAAGTAGGAAAACTTTTGAGTTTATGTACAAAATATTTTTTTGTGTGAATGTGTGATTGAAAGTGAATATATAGAACAAGAGCTTTCAAATAATAATTTTCAAACAGAGGCTTAATTGTTGACTTTAATTTAGATTAAAATCTTGATTATTTTAGTCCTACCAAACGGGGGCTATATCTTGAAAAAAAATTCTTGATTTCTACATTTTTTCTTGCCATAGTCTTGCTTCTCGTGAATTTCTGGAAGATCGAGGCAGCCATTTGTGAACTAAAAGCATGGGGGAAGAAACAATTAGAGTGTGTTTTATTGGCATGGAAAATATCACCTAGAAATGAAAATATTTTCCTTCTTTTGTGGAAAATAAAAATCACCTCCACCCAAGGAAAATATTTTTCCTAAAAACAAGAAAAATTAGGCATATTTTCAAAAATTGGAAAATATTTTCCATGAAAAAAATTAGCAATCAAACACCTCAAGTAGGAATTGGGTGAAAACTGATATTTTTCATGACAAATAAATGTAATCAAACATACCCTTATTGATTAATATTTCACAATTGTGGTTATTCAGGATGCGGTTTTAATTTGAAAATTGAAAAATTGACGGGACAAATTTTCAATGCATTTTTGGCGGGGGTATTGGGTAGGACGTAGGTGGTGCTAGTTGAAAAAGAAATAAAATTTGTTAACTATTTTATCCGGGACTCATTTGTACTTTTTTGAAAATTTTGGGAGTAAGATCACCATTAATTCTTTTTTAAATTGGATGCTAAATTCATCATTTTTCAAGACTTTATCGAGAAAATGGATGATAAGATTGCATTTTACAGTAATTGGTTGATTTGGAGGGTATAGCATCAAAATGAAAGATTATAGTTATTGGTGTTTCGCGGATTATCCTTTATAAAAACATTTATGAATGATGGCTTGCAATATATATTAATGTGCTTACTTAGCTCATATTTTGTTTATTTTATAAGCACTGGAGCTATTTTTAACTCATACATTTTGAGGAATTAAAAAGCAATATCTTCTCATTCACTATTAATTTCTTCTATTTATTTATAATTTAAGTCATTTTTAAATATTTTCTAAACAAGCTTTTAAGTATAACCTTTATTTGATTCTCATTATTTTTAAAATACAATTTTATCTCTTTAACAACATATTTTTCAATAAAATTATATTATATGTAAATCCAAAATTTTCATTTCTTCAATCTCCTATTTCAAAATGCTTTTTAACAGTAAAATGGAGCTCAAACAGGCTTATAATTATATTAAAACTCACAACTTGCGATAAATTTTTACCATGCATCGCTACACCATGCTCTCTTAAACTTCTATTACACAATTTGAATACTTTTCTTTTCTATTTGCACTATATGCATCTATTATTCAAACTATATTTATTAAATTTCTTTAATATCTCTAAGAGCATGTATGATAACTATTATTATATAAAAAAAAAGAGTTTTGAATAATAATTTTTAGGAGAATGTGTGGTTAATAAGTAGAATTTTTTTTTGATATACGTATTGAATATTTTATTGTATGAATATGTAATTAAAAATGATCCTGTAGTAAACTGTAAAATAAATTAATGGTTGACAAACATACACTAAAAATGTTTCTAATTTGAAACTTTGCAATTCAATAAAATATTTTGTTTGGTCAACTTTTGATTAAAAAAGAGTTTTATAATCTTGATTTTTTGAATAATGTATCGTAAAAATGAAAGATTTAGAATTGAAAGAATATGTTTTTAGACAACATAAGGCTTTTACAATTAAATAGTAACACTTGCCCCTCAGGGCACATCCAAGTTGGCGGAACAATCACATTGGGGGGCTCTGGAACCAAGTGTGGGGAGTTCGATTCCTGATTGGAGCAGCCAAGTGATGTAATAACCAGATGAAGGGTTGGAGCAGCTTGGTGATGTAATAACCATGAAGGAGAGTCCCTTTGGGGAACGAGTAAAAGCCATGTGGGAACCTGGGAACCAACAAGGACACAATCTGCGATTTACCTTCACTAGTCACTGAGGGGCCGGGGGCTAGAGGTCCAGGATTTAGTCCGGCTAAGCTGGGACACCTGGGTTATAAAAAAAAAAAAAAAAAAAAATGAAATAAAATAAAATTAAATAGTAACACTTAAAAAATTTCTGCTCGTTCGGTTGCCATCTCTGCTGTTACGTATTCATATAAAACATAAAAGGGTATGGTATAAAAGTTTTAGCATTGGAGCAGAACCCATGGAGCCCGCTTAATGAATTCTCTTCATTTGATCGAAAATTTTCAAAATCCCAAAACCCCAAATCTGCGCGCCTTTGACCTAAATATTCTACCCTAAATTTTCGATCTCACGCCTTCAATCAACATCTGCATCGACTATTTTTTTGCATCTATATACTCGCGCATACTCGCGCGACACTGATAATTCGGGGGGGTTAATTGATTTCCAGATTTTGGGTTCATGGCTTCGGAAAAGGAATCTGTAGAGGAGAGCAAGAAGCTCGAGAGTGAGGAGAAAGACCCAATTGAAGTTGAAGAGAAAGGTGAAGTTAAGGTAGACCCAGATGAAGAAAAAGAGGAGAAATTAGAGGAGGTGAAAGAAGAGAAGGACGAGGAAAAGGGGGAAGAAGAAAGCGAAGGGGATAAGGAAAAAGAAGAGGAAAATGAAGGGGAGAAAGAGAAAGGAGTGAAAAATGAAGGGGAAGAAGAGGAGGGTCAAGATGGAGAAGAAGAAAATGAGCTAGAAGAAGGAGAGGATGAGAAAGTAGAAGAAGACCAGATCAAGGGGAAAAAGAAGGGAAAGAGTGAGAAGAAAAATGTGAAGAAAAGATCCAAAATAGAGAAAAGTGGGGCTAAATCTCAAAATGAGAAGGAAGAGTTATCATCACCGAGGACTCCAAGAGGGGACAGGCCGACGAGGGAGAGGAAGACGGTGGAGCGGTTTACCGTGAGTGCAACACCCAGCAGCACTGCCTCCAAATCTGTGGCCATTGAAAAGGTATTATAATTATTACTAATGGCTTGTTCAGTAGTGGATATAAGAATTGATTTTTTGACCGTAATAGAAAAGTGGGTTCACCTGTGAGTCAAGAAGTAAAAAAATAATGGCTGATTCGGTGAAGCAACGATTAAAAAATTGATTTTTCGGGGTTGAAAAATCAAAACCAAATGGGGGCTAAGAACTTGGAGTTTTAACAGGATATAGTGTCTTGTTTTTGAGTGGAATTCTTGGCATCTACTAGGCAAAAGAAAAGAAAACTTGATAGGAAACATTTTTTCCTGTTATTTCTTATTTTGGTTGAATTTAAGAGTCTATTTGGGAGCGATTTTGAGAATTAATTTTTTGGCCGTTAGGAGAAAAGTGTGATCCACTCGTGAGAAAAGAAGTCAAATATAACGGCTGGAATAGTGAAATAACGGTCTTAGGGCAAACAATCACTCCCAAACAAGATGCAAATATGAAAAAACAATAATTAAATTATTCAAGAGAAAAAAATTAGCATGTATAATGAACTTGTATGCTAGTATTAGTTTACGGGGTATTAGTTATGAATTTATTGGGTCTGTGGGTTATAGTTGGTAAGGAGTGATATTAGGCAAATTTGGATTTTAGTCTTGAGCGGGAAAGAAACATTACTAGGAAATTTTGGATTTTATTTCAGAGCGGGAAAGGAAATGGAAAAGAAAATGTGAATAGTTAGTTATTCATATTCAGATAAGGATGAAACTATACCATGTAAACTAAGCCCCCGTTTGATTCTCATTCTTTCACCATAAAAATGAAAAATATGATCGCTATCCATCATATCAAGCCACTATATTTGACTTTTTATCTCTTGTGTAGATTCTGTAACGGTTATATTTTTCATCCTCATTTAAAAAAAAAAAAAGGGAATCAAATGGGGCATAAGAGCTTTGGCCAATAATATTTGTAATGCGATGCTAGAGTTACGGGACAAGAAAATTCCATGTTTAACTATTAAGCCTTATAAATAACTAACATATGTTACATGTATGATGTTGTATTGAAGGAAAGCAAGGTACAGTTTGAAAGTTCACTGTTGATTCAGTGGTGTTTAGCTTGTCATTTAATTTGTTGTAATTGGTTGGAGATAATTGTGTGCTTTTACATTGCTTTCACTTCCTTATTGTTTTTCTATTATAAAGGATCTCAAGTGGGGCATGAATGATATATGCATGTTTTTTTTTTCCCCCTGGCAAAATTAATTATGGAATTTATGACCGCTCACCAAACGATTCTATTGAATTTGGGTGCATAACTACAGGGTCGAGGTACAAAGCTTAAGGACATCCCAAACGGTATGATCTTATTATTTCATTCAATACGCATGATACTCTATCATTTATATTTGAATTTGGTTTCTCAATACATCTGATTTTTTTCGATATAGCTTGACATTACTTCTGGAACTTATTGCATTAAATTTATATCTGTATTTGTTTCGTAAATAATAGTTTGTTGGAAATATCTCTGTAGTGTGATTGCTGGTGTCTGATTTGAAAAAAACAATGACGGGGTTTATTTGATAATCTTAATATCTTTATCCCATACAATTTCTTCCCGACAGAAATTTCTGATTTCATGAAACATATAGTATCATGCACAGCGCTAACAAGTTATTTACAAATTGTACTCAGATATTCGGTCTTCTCTTAGTGTTAGATACATAGGGTACAATCAGCATATAGATAATGTCTTTTCAATTCTATTATATTTTGATTCAATAAAGGTGCTCAACATGTGAAATTCATTACAAGGTCATTATAACATAATTACATTGAGCATTTGATCTACTATTTCATTATATCCTAGCCAATTTGGCAAAAAAATGGATGCAGGAACATGACTTCTTTTATAGTTTAGGTCAGGTCCTTTCGTTCTTGTTCTTGTATCTAAGCCAATGTTCAATAAATGTATTTGATACTGTTTAAAATTTATGCAATCAAATTTTTTGCTCTACCGCTGTTTACACATCAAGTTTGTTGGTATTTTGTTTGTTTTATGGACTTGTCTACTAAAATACACGTACCTCTTCCTCACACTTTTATTACAAATGTTTCAGTGGCCTTCAAGTTGTCCAAGAGAAAGGGTGATGAAAACCTGCAGATTCTTCACACTATTCTTTTTGGCAAAAAATCTAAGGTTACATCTTAAGCCGTCATTTTTAACCAATCCAGTTTCATAATTAGTTAGATAAGCATTTTATGTTAAAATTTTCATTATTTTGCCATTTTCTGTTCACTTGATTGTTGAGATGCCCAATGGGGTTTGATGATCTTGTAAAATTGCAATCACGTTTCCTGTTCAGGTACATACTCTGAAGAAAAATATTGGCCTCTTCTCTGGATTTGTATGGGTTGATAATGAGGTATGGTGTCCTTTTCTGCTCGCTCGCTCCTCTTAACTCCTTTTGTTCTAGATCATGTGTTAAGGCTTTGGTTGGTCAGATGTTAAATGGAATGCAGGAAACCTTTCTGGGAAAAAAGAATTCTAGGGAAAGACATTTTGTCTGGATTTGTTATTTTAAGAAAGCTGGACCAACTGATGCTTATTGTTGTTGACAAAAGAATCCTAAATTTTGTCCCTTTTTAGGGTCTTATATAGAGGACAATGTGATGTTAAATAAACTGGTGGAATTTAAAAGGCTTTAATGTGATGTGACAACACACATTTGAATTACCATATAAGGTGCATATATCCTGCATTCCATACAATTATGGACATATAGTATTCTAGAGTATAGTGTGAATATAATTATAAAATAACACTTTGATATGAAGAATGTGGTGCTTAATTAAAGTAGAATTTTTTCCATTTCAAGATTCCAGAGATGAATAGTCATTCTCATCAAAGAAAATGTTAAATCAAACAAGTAGTTTCATGAGGAATAGGTGAGAGATCCACTTCTGCATCCTGCATATGGAGTCTTTAAATTGATATTGACAGGGATATTAATATACGTAATATTTCCCGAAGCAAACCAAAAATTAAGGTTCTAAAAAGCGCTAGGCGTAGCAAGGTTAAGCCTCAAACCTTACCAGCTTAGGCATACCCTGTTGAATCCTAAGCATAATCATGGTTTGAAAAGGGAAACTTGAGGCATGCCTTGAGTTGAGGTGTATGCTCCGACCGAGGTATGCACATTGTAATTTCTTTGATATTTAATTTAATTTTTTTTTAATTTGTAATTCTTAACGTCAGGTTTAGTGAGTTTTAGGTGGGGCCCACCACTTTTCTTGTTTTACAAAACCTAATGTAATATTAAGTGAAAAATCAAGACAAATATTATAAAAAAACACTCTATGCTCCACGTCTCTACCATTTCCCAAAAACATTAAGGAACTTCTACAATTCCATTGGCAAGTAATTTTTTGCTTTTATTTCTTTAATTCGTCCTCTCGCTCTTTAATTTTATTTTTATTTTCATTTTCTCCAATTCTTATACTATTTTCTTCCTTTTTTGGTTTGAGTTGAGGCTTATGCCTCGTCCCTTGAAACAAAAATGCCCCAATGCTCATTTTCGCTTTAAACTATGAGTGTAATAAGGCATGCCTTATTTTTAGCATTATTTTAATAATGCTAATTATTTTGCTAAGATCATTAATAATTATTTCTTGTATCTTTGTTGCACGGATACTTCAATTAGGGTAGTATGCTTGTGTCCGACATGTCTCGAACTTGTATTGGATACCGACACTTTTCTATGATCATTTTTCTTATTTTATTAGAAATATTATATATTTTTAATTTAAAGTTATTAGTAAATAATAAATACGTATTCATGTTTAAAAAATTTCAACTAAAAAGTTAATAACAAATATAAAATTAAATTTATACAATATAAATGAAAATTTTTAAAGAATTAAAACAACGTATCGGCGACGTGTCGTGTCAGTAGTTTTTTCATAAAACATGTGTCGATGTATCCAACATGTGTTGTGTCGGATATACGTGTGTTGGAGCATCATAGTTTGTATTTAATATGTTTATTTAACCTTTAAAAGAATAAATAAATTGGTCTAAAAATATATAAAAAGGTGTGTGCCTTTTGGTGCCTAGACCTGCATTAGGCAGTAAAAAATAATGTTGTTTACCTTTCCAAAATTTCTTCATAAGTGTGGCTTTTACCTCCTGAATAGGCCAGTGTTTTCCTGTCTTTAGAACATACATAAAATGACTAGTTGCATTTCAATCTTGAGCTATTAATTTTATTATGTTGATACACAATGGTTTTCTAGGTAAAATATTCTTTTGAAAGTTGAAGCCCCTGTTTGGGCTCTATTTAAATTAGTTTTTATGGAAAAATGTATTTTGGAATGGTGAATTTTTTTGGTGGAATATGTGGTTAAAAAAGAGGATTTTTTTGTTTTTTGTTTACGTGTAATATTATTTTATTAAAAAATGCGCACTTGAAAAGAAGAAAGAAAAAAATGCATTAAAATTAAAAGGAAGACTTGTAGCAGAGGTATCAAATCTTTAAAATATTAGCAGACTTTTTCCAAACCTTTAATTTGTTGCAATCGTCATTTCAAATCTTTCAAAATGTTGTGGCGGAAGCCCTTTTGGATAGTTTTATCCAAATGTCTTTTAGTTGACTAAGAAATTTGATTTTGATCATATTTTTAATATTTTTAAAAGGGTAAAATAGTAACTTTTCATTTACTACATTAAAATAAGTTAAAAATTAAATTAGAAAAAGAAATACAAAATAAAGAACCTGAGTTCCTATTCATCCCATCTATCCACCCCCCAACTCTATCCCTTCTCATCCCATCCCGTCTCACTCCTTAAATCAAATCAATCCCATCTACCTATAAGTGGCTTGGTCCATTCCACCAGCCTCCAACAACACCGTTGATGGAGGATTAACAACAGTACTTTCAATAAGGTATACTTTCGTCTTCAAATGGTAGACAAAGTGGACCCATTCAGGCTAGGGATGGTATTGGTGATTAGAATTGACAGAAAGCTCCGATTTTGTGCTATTGGCGGGGATTATAGTAGCTTCGGAGTTGATTGTGATTACATATTAATTGTATCAGTGAAACCGGAAAAGGGAATAGTTTGCATAATCCTAGTGGAGGAACTTGAGAGAAACTGAGGGAACTGTGAAGAAATGAGGTTCCTAAAAGAGTGTATAATCTTAAAGTTACTGTCATTTTTCTTTCTTTCTTGGGGTGGGGTGGGGTTTTGGGTAGGGGGTTTCACTCTCAAGCCATGAAAGCATAGCTATCGATGAAGAATCTCGCCTGTGTTAAGGGTTTTGGATAGGGCTTTTGGAAGTGGTAAGTAGTGATGATGGCCGCTTATACATAGATGGGTTTGTTGGGACAGTGTGTGAAAACAAATCATAATGGAAGATATTGTAGAGACTATGAGGGCAAAGAATTGAAGTTGGAGGTGGGGATTGGTAGAGGATAGGGTTGGGAAAGAAGATGAATAGTGACCTTGTTCTTTATCGTTTTTTATTTAGCTAAAATTCATTTTAATGGATAATTAATTTTTTGCCTCTTTTAAAACATAAAATATATGGTCAAAACTTAATTTTTGGGTCAATTGTCAGAAAAATGGATGGAAATCGTCCAAAAGGGTTTTTACCGCAATGTTTTGAGAGGTTTGGGGAGGGGGGTGACGATGCAACAAGTTAAAGGTTTGGGGAGTGTCTACTAATGATTTAAAGGATTGAGGTTTCTGTTGCAATTATCCCAAATTAAAACGGAGCCCAAACAGGGGCTAAACCATCCAAACATCTGACATTCAAAATATAGCTTAGCTCCGTGCATGCAAATAGACCTGAGTAACATAGAGAAGATATTTACAATAGTACTCTGCACTTGATTATTGGAACATAAAAATTAATCAATTAGTGAATTTAGAAATCTTTTTTGGTTGATGTCCACAGCAGGAGAAGCAAAGAGCTAAAGTCAAGGAGAAGCTTGACAAATGTGTTAAAGAAAAATTGTTGGACTTTTGTGATGTACTTAATATTCCAGTCAGTAGAGCTGCTGTAAAGAAGGTAAGGTCTTACCATTGACACTATTATGATACTCAAAATGTTCAATCATCTGAATAATAATAGCTGTGCTTTTCAGGAAGAACTCTCTGTAAAATTGTTGGAGTTCTTGGAATCTCCTCATGCTACAACGGAAACACTGCTTGCTGACAAAGAGAAGGTAGAATTTTTTTATTTTATTTTATTTTTTTTCCTTCATTTTTTAGAGTTTGTGTATGTTTTACATTTTCTCTAATTTGTATAATGCCAAGTTATCCATCGAGTCATCAAATAGGTCCTTTCATTAATGACAGTCATCGAAGGGTAAGAAGCGAAAGAGTAAGGACTCAGCAAGCAAAACCCCAAGCTCTTCTGATGTGGCTGAAGGAAAAACCACAGAGGTTAGTGATTCTCCATTTTACTTCTTTATTTATGCGTGTCAGTTTCTTTTCCTAATCACCGGTAATGAGCTCATCTTGTCTTTCTAACGCACAAAGGAAAAAGTTCTGCTTTGTGGCCATATTTTCCAGTTTCAAACATGTTGGTATCCTCTTTATGCATGGTGGTTTATTTTCTTGTAACTCGTAGCTATAATGAAAACTAATGTTGATATTACCATGTTGCCAGTCTATGAACGGCTCATTACCTATGCCATCCAGGATTTTTTATGTTGCTTAGTTTACTTCATTTGTTAAATTTTTGTGTTGCCTTGTTCAGCAAAATGTTTTTTGTGCTAACCATGTTGCTTTGTATTCTAGACCGTACTTTTTGTCTCTTCATGGAAAGTCCTTAATGCACTTTGGTTTCTCTGTTTAATTGTTCTTATTGCACATAGAAAAATAAGCCAAGCTCCAATTCAAGGAAGAAACCCAAGGATTTATCCAAAACCGAGGAAGAAGATAGTGATAAAAGTGAACCTTTAGAGAGTGAAAATGATCAAGAAGATGACGATGACGTAGCTGATAAAGCAGAAAGTGAGCAGGAAGAGAATAAGTCAGAGGAAGAAAAGGAGGAAGAGGACGAAGATGAACCTAGAAAGCAGAAGTCCGTTGAGAAATCTACTTCAAAGAAGAGTACTAAAAAAGATAGTAGTGGCAAGACGAGTGAGAAGTCTAAACTTGTTACCAGAGGCAGCCCTTCAAAGTCATCCAAAAGCTCCGGTAAATCTACTAAAAAATCTTCCAGTTCAACATCTAAGAAAGATGCTGCTGAAGCTAAATCGAAGAATGAAAGTAAGGCATCCTCGATGAAAAAGCGGAAGGCTAATGAGGAAATTGAAGAGGATACAAGTGCACCAAAGGAAAAGGCTTCAAACAAGAAACGATCAAGCAAGTCTTCAACAGATCAAGGTATTATTCCATTCATTTCTGGCTTTTGTCATCCAATAGTGATGCTTGAAAACCTAGGAAGGAACCGTCCAGCTTGAGGTTTTCTCCTATATTCTCAGATGCTATATTTACTTCTATTTACGAGTCATGGTCATTTAATTTTGTCAGTCAACTGTCACTTCAATGATCATTGTAATGCGCAATAATTTGGTGAAGGCTTTCCTCCCCAAATTTGAGCTTGAATGTTGTTGTAATGTTCATTGAATGGATATGGCATGATCGATTAGGGAATTTGTTCGTCTTCTTGCACTCTCCCGGAATTGGCTTTCTTTATTTGTCATGCTTGCTCATGTTTCTTTATATGCCATAGGCAAAGGGAAAAGCAGCAAGAAGGCCAAGACCGAACCCATTAACGAAGAAATGCATGCAGTGGTAGTAAAAATACTGAAGGAAGTAGATTTTAATACTGTAAGTTGGACCTTTGGTTATCTATTGCATGTTAGACCGAATGTTCAATTATAGATTTTCTGCTGACAGCCTTTACACTTTCCTGAAATGCAGGCAACGTTATCCGATATTCTCAGACTACTTGGTATGACTTTTCCTACAAGAGTACACTTTACTACACTATAACTTTCTAAAGTACTTGTTGGCCGAGCTTATAAGTATTTATAACTTATATGTGGCGATTCCTAAGGAATGTATTGTTAAAAACTAGGTAAAAATTGTTTGTCCTATGAAATGTGTGGATAAAAATAGGTTTGACCAGTTTATAAGCGATTTTAAGCTTAGCCAAACATGCACTAATGCTTTGGTTTCGATTTGCTAATACTTTCAAGTTTATCTCAGGAGACCACTTTGGTATGGATCTGATGCATAGAAAAGCAGACGTGAAGGCTATAATCACTGAAGTGATAAATAACATGACCGATGATGAGGATGAGGAGGCGGCAGACGAGTCTGGTGACAACAATTCGGACAAAGATGAAAATAACGAATAGGCTTAGATTTACCCAGTTGAGTACATCTCAACCTCACTTGTTCTGAAATGTAAAGGGGTTTGATCAGCTGTTTAGGTGAACTAATGGAACATTGTTAATTTTATTTTGACCTTCTGCAGATAGACACCATAAATGAATTTGTCTGTATGCTTAGGATTTTAACTTATAGATGCTACAACTGATTTATGTTTTTTTGTACTCAACCGCTGTAGTTGGATTTAGTGGATGTTTTATTATAGATGTTTTGTACAACTCGTTTGAGAAATTGCGGATATATCTTTTCATTGCCATTATGTAGTTTGAAATTTTTTATTTTTATATTTTTGGCTTTTATTGATGTTCCTTTAGATTATATGTATTCAATTTCCTGTTATTTCTTCTGTAGCCAGTTTTATTTACTCATTCACTGTGAGTGTTAAACAATGCTTCCTTTTTAGCTCAATAAGATTTGAAGAAAAGAAAAACTAATGCTTTTCTGTCAATGTTCAACCTGGGAAAACCACCATTTTTTTAAGGGTAATTGTTACAAAACGTTCTCATCTTTTAATGTTATTGTATAAAACGTTTCTATTTTTTATTTTTTGGTATTTTTACCCTTATATTTACATTTTATTGCGAAAATTATATTTTTCATCAAATTTCTTGGGTAAAATGACAAATAAACGTTTATACTTTTTATTTTTTGATATTTTCATCTTTATTTTTATATTTCATTACGAAAATTATTATTTTCATCAATTTTATTAATTAAAAGCTATAAAATGACAAATACACCATTATTTAAATAAACAAAAATAAAGAAAAGAAAAATAAAAAATAAATTGTAATTATACTCCCAAATTTTTTAAAAAAAAGTTCAAATAAATTTTAAATAAATAATTAAAAAACAAAATTACTTTTTTTTTTAAAAAATTATTTATTTGAAATTTATTTGTACTTTTTTTCTAAAATTTTTGAGAATATAGTTGCAATTTGTTTTTTTATCTTTCTTTAGTTAAAGAGGACTGTATATTTGTTATTTTACAACTTTTAATTAAGAAAATAGATGAAAATAACGATTTTCGCAATAAAATATGAAATAAGGGTAAAAATGTCAAAAAATGAAAGGAATGGATGTTTTGTACAATAGTAATGAAAGGTAGGGATGTTTTGTGCTAATTATTCTTTGAATAATTTATTTGGATTTATTTGTACTTTTTAAAAAACTTTGGGAGTATGATTGCAATTTATTCTTTTCTTTTTTATTGTTTTATTTAAATGGCGTATATTTATCATTTTATACGAGGAATTTGATGAAAAGGATGATTTATGCAATAAAGGGTGAATATAAGGGTGAAAATGTAAAAAAATGGAAGGTAGGGAAGTTTTTCACAATAACATTAAAGGTAACAACTTTTTGTACTAATTACCCTTCCCCTTTTTCTTTTTTCTTTCTTTTTAAATAGTAGCCAAGGAATGGCCAATATATTTAGCTGTTTGGTGCGAATTAAAATAAGATTTTTAATAAATTTTGATATAAATTGACGAAATGTGTGGTTGAAAAATTGTGAATTTCATGAAATAATTTTTTCAAATATATGATTAATTCTTTATTTTGATTAAAAATTCTACCTGGCTTAATATTATAGAGGTAGTTGGAAGTAATGAGAATTGCTTCCTCCTAGAAAATTGTTGCAAGAATAAGGGGTGTACTTGGAATCACTCGATTTGGATTGAAATTAAATTGGAGGTGCAATTTGATTTTTGTTGAAATTGGCCCTGTTTTGGGTATTAGAACATTTTTAAATAAATTACAATTTATGTGAATTTATATGAATCAACGGTTTTATCGTTTAAAACAAAAATGCAAAAGTGAATAAGGAAACTTGTACACAAGTATAAAAGAATCGAAATGGAAGTTCGAACTCGGAACCAATTAATTCTTGTCCGGTCGATTCCGTATTTCTCCACAAAATTAAGTTCCCTGTTTAGCCCCTATTTTTTTGAAATGAAATTGAATGGAATAGTATATATATTTTTAAATAAGTGGTTGAAAAAGAATGAAAAATTTTCGATTTATATATAATATTATTTTATAGAAGATTGTGTGATTGAAATAAGTGAGAAAATGCAACATAATGATATTCAAACATGGGCTAATCGTCCATTTTTCACAAATTTCAATGGAAATCAGGTTAGTCTTTTCAAAACCCCTAACCAAACTCTCTGATTCCCACTCTACTAAGAGTCTTGGGATTTTGCAAGAAAGGAGAGAGTTGAAAAATTGGGATTTTGCAAGAGATGACAGAGTTGAGAGAGGCAGTGGAGAGAGAAGTGAAAGGACAGCTGGTTTTGGGGGTGGATTTGAGAGATTCAACCATTGTTTTCTTTTTCTCATTCCTCCATTTATAGCTTTCAAATACCATCACCTTGTCTCCTTTGGGGGGGATAAAACTTAGGCAACCAAGGTGTTAAGGGTTGTTGGGTAGAGCCGATTGATTGATGTTCGTTTGGTTGATTTTTCGAGTCCTGAATTAAGATTCTTCAAAGATTTTTGCGACAAATGGTATTAGACATTGTGTAGTTGAAAAATCTGTGAAAAATTGATGTAAAAACTAGTTGGAAAAGGGCAAAAACTAAATATTAGGCAAAAAGCTAGAAAGAAAAATTGGGATTTTTCTTCAATCTGTAGGATTTGACTATTTTCTGGCCAAACCAATAGCTGGTTGGAGAAACAGATACCACTAGTGGATTAGAAATGTCAATATAGCTCGCCAGCTTCAGTTGTCCATGCGTGTTGCTGCCTTTTTTAGTGCTACCTTTTGAGGCAGCAATTATTTATAAAAAAAGGGTAAAAAAATAATTTAAAGGCAGCAACACCCTACCTTTTAATTTTTAAGTACCCGAGTAGTCAATTGTTACCTTGAGGCAGTTATTTATTATTAAAAAAAATCGAGACTGTTCGGCTCAAAAAAGCTTGAGCCAAAAGCTCGGGTCGAGCCTAGATTTTTTGGCCAAGCAAAAGCTAGACTCAGACTCAAAAAAAGATCACACCATTTTACTCGAGCCTCGCCTAAGCCGACTCGGCTCATTGATATCCCTGGGTGGACTCAATAGGTGGAGGCGCAACTGGAGGTGGCGCGCTTGGTAGTCGACGACGACGTGTTGGACTTCGACGCTGGCGCATGAGCTAAATTCTTGCAATGGCATCAACAGACAGAATGTTGCCGATGACGAGATGAAACTGTGTGGTGTTGTCGGATTTCCATTTCGGGCGATAGGTGAAAGTTGGACGATTTTGCCCTTCGACGTTCGGATGTCGAGTGTCGTTTTGTGTTACCATTGTTGTTTGAGGCTTTACGACGAATAATGGTCATCCTAGAGTGATGATTTCGCACCTTTCAATATTTATGGACCTGTAGACGTGGTTCGCTCAGTATCACGTTCTTTTCCTTTTATTATTGCAGTTATGGTTATCATGTAGGGTAACGGTTTACTTTTTGCATTAGAAGTCATTGTGTGGGGATGACATTAGAATTATGGTTATCGTGAATGGGTAACTATTGCCTGTTGTTAGACCTAGAAATCACTTGTTAATTATTTACATTGTATTATTTGTGAATTTTTTGCCAATTAATTTTTTCTATGTTAGAATTGCATGTAACATTATGAAAGATTGTTTGACTATTTTGTGTGAATTGTGTCCGTACTTTTCCTATGGTAGTTGTTGGTTGTATTTTGTGCATTTTTGGTAACATGACAACACATTTGAGTTGTGTTTTTCTAATGAGAAAAATGTGATTTTTCAACTTGACAGAATGAAATAGGGCTAGGAATGGTCCGATTCTTACGAGAACCGAACTGAACCCGAAATTTTTGGGTATTTAATAAGTGAAACTGTCGGGTCCAAATTTAATTATGGAACCATTTGTGTTCGATTCCATTCGATTTAGTTCAGTTCGATTTGGTTCGATTCGATTTCCAGGTTCCGTATTATAATTAAATTTTTTAATATTTACAAAACTATATTAATTCAACTAATGATATGTTCAATCTCAACTCTTACAAAATAACGTAGTCAATCTTAAGTGTCTTTTGCATCTCTCTTTGTTGAGTTCTTCATAAATTTAATTGTTAAAATCACAGGAATAGGAAGGTAGTAAGCTTACAATAATTAAGAGAATAGTTGTTGAGTTTCAATTTGATTTCTCCAGAACGATAGAAACGACACTACAGTAGGTAACATATTTGGATAAAACTTATGGCCACCATGAATTCCATGGAAAGTGGAAATTGAATTCCACATTCCACATTTTACAGTGTTTGATTGTACTATTCTACCTTGGAAGTGAATTTCCAACATTTCTCTCCACGCGCCTGAATTCCTTCTTTTTGAGGAATTCCAATTCTTATGGGTTTGGTGAGAATTAGAGTTCCAGGCAACCATTTTTTTTTGGGCAATGGAATCAAATTCTAAGAATTATTATAAAAAAATATTTCCATTTAATTGACAATTTTCATGTAAAATGAAGCCAAACGAACATCAATGATTTTCTTATTTTTTTTTTGCAATGGAAACAAATTTCATCCACAATACCAGCAAATTCTATCACTTTAATTGATAATTTTTATGTAAAATAAAGTCAAACGAATATCAAAAAATACTTTTATTTCAACATTTTTCACGTGGAAAATTATACCAATCAAACATAATAATTTACAACTCCTAGGAAAATAATTTCTAGGTAATTCAATTCCCTGGAATTCGTTTTCTTTCCACCCAAATTCCATCTTTGCAATCAAATGGACTCTTAGGTTAATTTGATTAAATTGGCTTTGAATTGAAAATTAAAAATAGAAAAATCACATTTTTAGGTTTGAGCTACATTAATTAGTTAGCAAATTTATTTAGAAAAATAAAATAATTTGATTTATTTAAAATAAATTAATTAAAGAAAGGGAGATTCGATTTTTATTTGGTTCTTCGATTCTTGATGTAGAACCAGAATCGAACCAAACCCTCGGTTCTCAATTCAGATACCCGTTCGAATATTTAACTTAAGAAGAATCCCTCGATTTTGTTCGAGAGTTTTGTCTAGTTCTAGAATGAAATATTTTTTTATAAAACTTTTGATGGCAAATATATGTTTAATGCAAGTGCGAAAAGTAAGATATGTTTTCACTGTGAAAAAATTTAGACATGGTGAAAGAGACTGTCCTAGAAATGATAATAAAAGGAAAGTTAAGGAGAGAGGTAAGACAAATGTTGTCATCGGGTTAAGTTATGACCTGAGTGAGGTTTATTGAGAGTAAA